GGTCTTCTTGGTACAGAAGCATGGGAGCTTTATATTATGAGCATTAACAATAAGCTATGCAGAGTGGGAAATTACATTTGTATCATTTTCTAATAGTAAGCTGGTTTCTTTTAGTGTAGCATCCCGATGGAAAATGAACTTCAACAACAATCTAATTGCTAAAAGAAATGTGCAGACATAAGGCAACATAGTATGTTTGAACTCCTTTAGGATTACATTGATTAGTAACACATTAGCAAAATCAAAATAATCCATATCATAGAGAGAAATATACAGTGGGTACGGAAAGTATTCAGACCCCTTTAAATTTTTCACTCTTTGTTTCATTGCAGCCATTTTCCAAAAATCAAAAAAGTTCATTTTATTTCTCAGTAATGTACACTCAGCACCCCATCTTGACAGAAAAAAACAGAAATGTAGAAATTTTTGCAAATTTATTAAAAAAGAAAAACTGAAATATCACATGGTCATAAGTATTCAGACCCTTTGCTCAGTATTTAGTAGAAGCACCCTTTTGATCTAATACAGCCATGAGTCGTTTTGGGAAAGATGCAACAAGTTTTTCACATCTGGATTTGGGTATCCTCTGCCATTCCTCCTTGCAGATCCTCTCCAGTTCTGTCAGGTTGGATGGTAAACGTTGGTGGACAGCCATTTTCAGGTCTCTCCAGAGATGCTCAATTGGGTTTAAGTCAGGGCTCTGGCTGGGCCATTCAAGAACAGCCACGGAGTTGTTGTGAAGCCACTCCTTCGTTATTTTAGCGGTGTGCTTAGGGTCATTGTCTTGTTGGAAGGTAAACCTTCGGCCCAGTCTGAGGTCCAGAGCACTCTGGAAAAGGTTTTCGTCCAGGATATCCCTGTACTTGGCCGCATTCATCTTTCCCTCGATTGCAACCAGTCGTCCTGTCCCTGCAGCTGAAAAACACCCCCACAGCATGATGCTGCCACCACCATGCTTCACTGTTGAGACTGTATTGGACAGGTGATGAGCAGTGCCTGGTTTTCTGCACACATACCGCTTAGAATTAAGGCCAAAAAGTTCTATCTTGGTCTCATCAGACCAGAGGATCTTATTTATCACCATCTTGGAGTCCTTCAGGTGTTTTTTAGCAAACTCCATGCGGGCTTTCATGTGTCTTGCACTGAGGAGAGGCTTCCGTCGGGCCACTCTGCCATAAAGCCCCGACTGGTGGATTGCTGCAGTGATGGTTGACTTACTACAACTTTCTCCCATCTCCCGACTGCATCTCTGGAGCTCAGCCACAGTGACCTTTGGGTTCTTCTTTACCTCTCTCACCAAGGCTCTTCTCCCCCGATAGCTCAGTTTGGCCGGACGGCCAGCTCTAGGAAGGGTTCTGGTCGTCCCAAACGTCTTCCATTTGAGGATTATGGAGGCCACTGTGCTCTTAGGAACCTTAAGTGCAGCAGAAATTTTTTGTAACCTTGGCCAGATCTGTGCCTTGCCACAATTCTGTCTCTGAGCTCTTCAGGCAGTTCCTTTGACCTCATGATTCTCATTTGCTCTGACATGCACTGTGAGCTGTAAGGTCTTATATAGACAGGTGTGTGGCTTTCCTAATCAAGTCCAATCAGTATAATCAAACACAGCTGGACTCAAATGAAGGTGTAGAACCATCTCAAGGATGATCAGAAGAAATAGACAGCACCTGAGTTAAATATGAGTGTCACGGCAAAGGGTCTGAATACTTATGACCATGTGATATTTCAGTTTTTCTTTTTTAATAAATTTGCAAAAATTTCTACATTTCTGTTTTTTTCTGTCAAGATGGGGTGCTGAGTGTACATTACTGAGAAATAAAATTGATTTTTGGAAAATGGCTGCAATGAAACAAAGAGTGACAAATTTAAAGGGGTCTGAATACTTTCCGTACCCACTGTAGATGACATTCCATCAAATTAATTTTGAAAGCTACTTCCAGTCCCGCCCCCAAAAATGTGTATGTAACTGATAAGAGGGGTGTATCCATAAGATGCCTGCCTTTGGTGTGAGAGACCCAGGTTCAATTCCCCACTGTGACCCATCCACCAATGTGTCCCTGAGCAAGACACTTAACCCCTCGTTGCTCCAGAGGCGTGAGACCTGACATGTATAGCAATTGTAAGTCGCTTTGGATAAAAGCGTCAGCTAAATGAATAAATGTAAATGTAAGTAAAGAATAAATTGAAATAATTACAGTAAAGCAGTAAAATAGTATAACAGTGAGTAAAAATTAAACAGCATTATAAATTACCTTTAACAGCATGCAGCAAAATAAGAGTGAGTTCCAAAATTAAACTTTTTAAAATCTTTGCTAAAGCTTTGTGTGACAAACTTATTATCACTCTTGTGAAAAGCTGTAGCCTAGTCTTAAACTTGTGAGTCTTTAAACTTTAATCCTTCTAGAGTCTGTGTCTCTTGTTCTCTGTCCTCTCTCTTTCTGGTGTAGCATAGGCTGTGCAGGGTGAATTGAGGAATGTGCTCCACCCCCCGCACCTCCTTCCCTCCCTCTGTTTACTCAATGATCCACATCAAGTTGTGTGTTTTAACTGTCATTAGCATCTTCAGGTAATCTTGTAGACCAGTTATGGAATAGAGTTATCTATAACCCAGACTCCGGTTGTTAAAAACGATCTGGTTTATCAGACAGAGTTCGTTTTCGAAACAGGAGCCTATTTTTGTCAGCCGGAGACAAGAGTTTGGAACTGCAGACTATCTAATAATCTGGTTGTACCAGAAGTAACGGCCCCCAACCCCTCACCAGTTATCTCCCACATGCTGTCACACACAAAATCAATTAGTAAATTCTCAATAAAGTGTGCCTGAATATTTTGTATTATAGAGAAATGTTTAAATATTACCAACAATGATAAAATTTTTTAAAGAAAGAAAAAGTCTAAAAGAGATACCAACACTCATTAGCTGAAAAGAATTCACCGCATGGAGGTCCCCTCTTTGGTAGGTAGATACTGCTCAAGGATCCAAGTGCCCTCTTGGCAATTTCTTGAAGGCAATGTTCTCGTTTTATTTTCACAGACTCCCATCATTGGCCTATGGTAACCCCTCCTAGTCTCTTATCATTGGCTCACGGTAACTCTGCCCACCCTCTTATTTTGTGTGTGACAGCATGTGGGAGATAACTGGTGAGGGGTTGGGGGCCGTTACTTCTGGTACAACCAGATTATTAGATAGTCTGCAGTTCCAAACTCTTGTCTCCAGCTGATAAAATAGGTTCCTGTTTCAAAAACGAACTCTGTCTGATAAACCCAGACCGTTTTTAACAACCGGAGTCTGAGTTATAGATAACTATTCCATAACTGGTCTACAAGATTACCTGAAGATGCTCATGACAGTTAAAACACACAACTTGATGTGGATCATTGAGTAAACAGAGGGAGGGAAGGAGGTGCGGAGGGTGGAGCACATTCCTCAATTCACCCTGCACAGCCTATGCTACACCAGAAAGAGAGAGGACAGAGAAGAAGAGACACAGACTCAGAAGACGACTCTCACTGGACGCCTGCAGAGAAAAGGCGTCCACACAGGTGAGCAGTTTCCTGGAAAGGAAGCAGGACAGACAGGAAGCAGCAGGAGCAGATTTTCACAATAAGAGTGCAGGAGGTTTATTT